ATATATGTTTACTTTTGAAAATATATATATATTCACTGTTGAAAAGTAAATATATATAAAGATATATATAGATATATAAAGACATATACATACAGCTATATAAAGATATATAGATACATATAGAAAGATATATATAGATATATCTAAAGACATATATACATATATATATAGAAAGATATATATATATAGTGAGATAGAGTCTCGCTCTGTCACCCAGGCTGGAGTGCAGTGGCGCAATCTCCACTCACTGCAACCTCCAACTCCCAGGATCCAGCAATTCTCCTGCCTCAGGCTCAGGAGTTGCTGGGACTACAGGTGCGTGCCACCACACCCAGCTAATTTTTTGTATTTTTAGTAGAGACAGGGTTTAACCTTCTTAGCCAGGATGGTCTCAATCACCTGACCTCGTGATCCACCTGCCTCGGCCTCCTAAAGTGCTGGGATTACAGGCATGAGCCATTGTGCCTGGCTCATTTGTGTATATTTCTTAAATGTGTTCTTCTAACTAGTTTAAAACTTCTGGACTGACAATTATCTTTTACCTGGAATAGTTAACCCATTAATCTTTAATGTAATTGCTTTTATGTTTGTTTTTAAATGTTTATCTTATAGCATGCTTTCCACTATCCCACTGGTTCTATGTCCCCTCTTCTGTCTTGTTCTCTGGAGGATTTTCTTTACCTTAGTTTGAAAGTTATAGTCTTTTAATATTTGACTAGTGACCACCCTAGAAATTAGGACATGCATGTCTGACCTTTCTGTGATCATCTTCTTCTTTCTCAAGATACCATTTAGTACTTCCTTTAATGCAGCTCTACCTGTTGTTAATTCCCTCAGTTATTATTTGCTATTAGCTATTATTTTATTTAAGTACAGGTAAGATATCAACCTGCTATCTTCTGATTTCCTTTTTTGCTGTTGAAAAGTAAATATTTGCCGGGCGCAGTGGTTCACGCCGGTAATCCCAGCATTTTGGGAGGCCCAGGTGGGCGGATCACAAGGTCAGAAGTTCGGGACCAGTCTGGCCAACATGGCGAAACCCCGTCTCTACTAAAAACACAAAAATTAACTGGGCATGGTGGCACACGCCTGTAATCCCAGCTACTCAGGAGGCTGAGGCAGGAAAATCGCCTGAACCCGGAAGGTGGAGGTTGCAGTGAGCTGAGATCGCGCCACTGCACTCCAGTTTGGGTGACAGAGTGAGACTCCATCTCAAAAAAAAAAAAAAAAAAAAAGAAAGAAAGAAAAGAAAAAAAAAGTAAACATTCGACCAGGCGCGGTGGTTCATGCCTGTAATCCCAAGCACTTTGAAAGGCTTAGGCGAGGAGATAACAAGATCACGAGATCAAGAGATAGAGACCATCCTGGCCAATATGGTGAAACCCTGTCTCTACAAAAAATACAAAACTTAGCTAGGTGTGGTGGCATACACCTGTAGTCCCAGCTACTCCAGAGGCTGAGGCAGGAGAATCGCTTGAACCCGGGAGGAGGAGGTTGCAGTGAGCCAAGATCACGCCACTGCACTCCAGCCTGGGTGACAGAGCGAGACTCCATCTCAAAAAAAAAAAAGAAAAAAAGAAAAGTAAACATTTATCTTATATTTGCTCCTATGAAGGCAATGTCTCCTTTAAGATTTTATCTTTGATCTTCTGTAGTTTCACTATGATGTGTCATATATGATTTTAAAATGTATCCTACTTGGGCTTCGTTGAACTTCTTGAATCTATGGATCAATATGTTTCTTAACTTTTAGAAAATTATCATCTATGAGCTCCTCAGAGATTGGTTTGACCCCATTCTCTTTTCTTTCTGAAATTTCAGCTACAATTATTTTGGATTTCTCTCTGAATTCTGTCTGTCCCTCACTCTCTGTGCTGGATATTTCCAATCTCTCCCTTCTCCAATCCTCTATTCTGTGTCTTAAGAGGCAGATATTTATTTATTTATTTATTTATTTATTTATTTATTTATTTATTTGATGCAGTCTCACTCTGTTGCCCAGGCTGGAGTGCAGTGGTGCAATCTCAACTCACTGCAACCTCTGCCACCTGATTCAAGCGATTCTTCTGTCTCAGCCTCCCCAGTAGCTGGAATTACACGCATGTGCCACCACACTTGGCTACTTTCGTTTTTTTAGTAGAGACGGGGTTTCACCATGTTGGCCAGGCTGGTCTCGAACTCCTGATGTCAGGTGATCCTCCCGCCTCGGTCATCCAAAGTGCTGGGATTACAGGCGTGAGCCACCGTGCCTGGCCTAGACACTGTAACTTTAAGAATATTTGTAAAAGCAATTTGTGAACACAGGTAATGTGTTGTATCTCCCTTCAAGGATAATTTACATTTGCTTCTGCTAGGTAGCAGTGGCATTAATATGACACTGCTACATCTTAGAACATGACTTCATGACATTAGCATGACATCAAGATGGCTGCAGTCTATGCAAGGATTTCCTTACTCTAAGTTCATGTTTTCTTCTTGACAGCAGTCCTTTAGTCTTTCAAAAGTAACTTTGGGGCCAGGCGCGGTGGCTCACGCCTGTAATCCCAGCACTTTGGGGGGCCAAGGCAGGCAGAGTACTCGAGGTCAAGAGTTCGAGACCAGCGAGGTCAGGAATATGAGACCAGCCTGGCCAACATGGTGAAACCTCATCTCTACAAAAATACAAAAATTTAGCTGGGTGTGGTGGCTCATGCCTGTAATCCCAGCTGCTCAGCAGGCTGAGGCAGGAGAATCACTTGAAGCCGGGAGGTGGAGGTTGCAGTGAGCTGAGATTAGGCCATGACACTCTAGCCTGAGTGAGAGCAAGGCTCCATCGCAAAAAACAAACAAACAAAAATACCCCAAAAAACAACAACAAAAAAACTAAGTTTGGGATGGCAAATCAGGCCCCCTTCCTTTGGCAGACTCTGGGCTCCACCTTTTATCCCTTAAATCACCCAAAAGTGGTGCTCAAATCTCACCTGCCTTTCAGCATTAGCAAATAACTTCTTTTACTCCAAATGGTGGTCTCCTCTCTCTAGATTTCAGCCTTCTCTCAAATTTTGGCCCAGCAATTTCTCATTATCTTGTTATTTCTTTTATGGTTTTGATGTTTTAAAAAGTTTCAAAATGTTTTGTCAAACATCTTCCTTATCTTCAGAGAGACATCTATATGATTTATCTCCCCATCACTATTTAATATAAGCTATGCACTTTTCATTAAGACAAGTACACAGTAATATAACTATTGCCAATAGGAAATAGCTGAGTCAAATGAAGATGTTTCAAGGTAGGAAAAGTTTAAAAGTCTATTTGGGCTAGGTGTGATGGCTCATGCCTGTAATCCCAGCACTTTGGGAGGCTGAGGCAGGAGGAGAGCTTAAGCCCAGGAATTTGAGGCCAGCCTGGGCAACACAGTGAGACGCTGTCTCTACAAAAAAAAAGAAAAGAAAAAAGAAAAATTAGCTGAGTGTGCTGGCATGCTACTTGAGAGGCTGAGGGGAAAAGATTGCTTAAGCCCAGGAGTTCGAGACCAGACTGGGCAACAATGTGGTGAAACCCTATCTCTACAAAAAATACAAAAATTAGCCAGGTGGGGTGGCAGGGGCCTGTAGTCTAGCTATTCAGGAGGCTGAGGTGGGAGGATCACTTGAGCCTGGGAGGTTGAGGCTGCGGTGAGCCATGATTACACCACTGCCCTCCAATCTGGGTGACACAGTGAGACCCTGTCTCAAAAAAATAAAAACAAAAACAAGAGAGAGTGTAGCTGTAAGTCCCTAGGTAAATCTCTTAGAATCTTGAGGACTGGGTGAGAACATTTTTTTTTCTTTTTTCTTTCTTTTTTTTTTTTTTGAGATGGAGTCTAGCTCTGTTGCCCAGGCTGGAGTGCAATGGCGTGATCTCAGCTCACTGCAACCTCCACTTCCTGGGTTCAAGCGATTCTTCTGCCTCAGCCTCCCAAGTAGCTGGGATTACAGGCACGTGCCACCACGCCCGGCTAATTTTTTGTATTTTTAGTAGAGATGGGGTTTCACCATATTGGCCAGGCTGGTCTTAAACTCCTGACCTCTAGTGATCCACCCACCTCGGCCTCCCAAAGTGCAACGATTACAGGCTTGAGCCACAGCACCCAGCTTTTTTTTTTTTTTGCTTTTTTTTTGAGACACGGTTGCCAGCCTCTGTTGCCCAGGTTGGAGTGCAGTGACCGGATCTCACTGCAACACCTGCCTCCCGGGTTCAAGTGATTCTCCTGCCTCAGTCTCCCGAGTAGCTGGGATTACAGGTGCCCACCACCACACCCGGCTAATTTTTGTATTTTTTGTAGAGAATGGGTTTTTTCTCTTGACCAGTTTGGTTTTGAACTCCTGACCTCAAGTGATGGGCCAGGAGATTTCTAAGGAATCTTTGCATTCTAAACTTCTATTACTGTGAAACCAATATTGTAGCAGAGACATAGCTGGATTTGGAATCAGGAGGCTGGGATTTGAGCGCAGCTCTGCCACATGCCAGCTGTGTGAACATGGGCAAGTCATTTAATCTCTCTAAGCCTCACGGAGATTTACCTCACAGAGTTGGGAAGGATTAAGGGGGTTACTGTATGTCAAAGTGCCTTATAAACTGTAAAGAACTACCCTAATGTCAGGTATTCTTTTATAACGTCCAGTCTTCTTCTTTTTGAGCCAATCAGAAAAAGTAACCTAAAGTGAGTCAGATCTCAGGAATTTAAGTTGTAAAACCAGGAAACACATTATAGTTAATTGTGCATCATACTCACCTTATGGAATTTATAGCATCGTTTTATTCTATCAGTGCTTACACTTTGATAACGAATAATACAAAGTAAAATTACAAATGGGTACTCACTTCTACAGGCCGATCCTCCATAAGAAGATGGTCACTGTTCTCGGAATCCCAAATTTTGAGGGGCAAAATAGTGAACACAGTATATGATAACGGCAACAAGTACTTATAAACTAGTTTTCTCATTCATTGAACAATTTCGTGTGGAGCCATCACGTCTATCGGGGAGGATAGCAAACCTGAGGTCAACACGAAAGAAGTTTTCCTGTTTTCAAGTGAGCAGGGGCAGCCCTAGAATAAACTAAGCTGCCATCAGCAGGGCGATGATGTTTTCTCCTGAAACAGCCAATGAGGCATGTGTCAAAAGCCAGGCCTTCCTATTCTTTGCGCTAACAGTCCCAGAATTGCTTTGAGGTCTTTTGAATGGAACTCGGGGAACCTAGTTCGTTGGTGCACACCGGCGACAATTTTTCGATTATTCAGCAGAACTGATAAAGTATTTCCCTGAGAGGTTCAGCGCGCGCACGCGCCTTCTCGGTTTGTGTTGAGTAACGCGCGCACTGTCATTCAGTGCCTACACATCGTTGTTGCTGAAGGCTCAGGAGTTGCAAGAAAATGGCTAACGAAGCGACAAGGGAACGGCGGCGCGGCAGACATTGCTGCGGTAGGACGTGCCTGACCTCCCAGTACACACAAGGGAACGCACCGCCCAAGTGTCCGCGGCCCGCCCGACCGTACGCGCCGCTGCCGGTCCCTGAGCCAATGCGCACGCGCGGCCGTCATCCGGGTGCTGGCTGCTGCTGCAGGTTGCGCTAGGGTGGCGGACCGGGGGAGGGGCCAGCGGCTCATTGTGCGCAGCGCTGTGCGGCGCCGGCGGCCGCCGAGGCCTGGGTGGAAGTTGGCGCTTGCTGCCGCCGCCCTGCAGCCCACTCGCTGCCTCGGCAGCGCGCTGCTCTTCTAAGATGGCTGCCGCTACCGGTGCGGTGGCAGCCTCGGCCGCCTCGGGTCAGGCGGAAGGTAAAAAGATCACCGATCTGCGGGTCATCGATCTGAAGTCCGAGCTGAAGCGGCGGAACTTAGACATCACCGGAGTCAAGACCGTGCTCATCTCCCGACTCAAGCAGGTGAGGCCCGGCGAGGACTGGGAAGGACCGGGGAGGGGAGCTTAGGCCGCGCCTCGGCGCCCCGCTTCCGCCGCAGCCTCCGGCCGCCCGCAGCAGCTGGGACCTGCGGGGCAGCATGGTAGGGAGGCCCGGGGCGGCTCCCGCGAGCTTGGAGGACGGGGACCCTTACGCGGTGCCCCTGCCCCCGCGCCCCGGGCCGGGCTGGGCCTGCGAGGGACCGGCCACAGCAGCCCAGCGCTCCTCCGCCTCCCCGGGACGTCCCCGCCAGCCTGCGAGGGTTGCGGCCGGCCGGCGCGGCCTCCCAAGGGCGATCGTGCAGACCGGGGAGGCGCTCGGTCTCCAGCCTTTAGCCATGGTGAGCGTGTGCATTTCTTGGCCTCAGAGGGAATGGTTAGTTTGGTGACTTCTGCGAAGTTACCGTTTAATTGTGCCCAACCGTTTCTTCCCCATCTTGAGGGGGAATTGGTAGTGGGAGTTGATGGGTGGGTGACAGAGAGAGTTTTTGTTTTCCACTAGGCTTTTAGTTTTTGCATCAGCGCAATAATTACTTTTTCATTCCTGATTAGCTTTCTGGTTTGAGTGAGCGTTGGAATTGTAGTAGAGTAGCAGTAAGTTTGCATTACAGAAACTAGGAAAACTCTTTTTAGTTATTTACTTTAGTAGCTAGCAACTTTTCTGCAATATAACATATTTAGATTTTTGGCCAGTATGATATGATATTTAATTATCTTGACATGGTAGAATTTAAAACTCCTTGCGATTTTGATACCTAATGATTTTTTCCCCCCTGAAAGTTTCTCTCACTCTTTCGTGTAGTTTAATTGCTCATTTTTGAAGTCGGTTTATGAAATAACTGGCAATTCTAATGTCTTGAGGCTTGAGGTTTGCTAAATTTTTTTTCATTTCGTTTTTATAAAATAAGTTTAGATAGATTGTGTAGCATATTAACTTCTCTTTCTAATGTAGGCTATTGAAGAGGAAGGAGGCGATCCAGATAATATTGAATTAACTGTTTCAACTGATACTCCAAACAAGAAACCAACTAAAGGCAAAGGTTGTTACGAGTTATGAACATATTTTAAAATATATTTTGGTTATATAACTTGCCTCTGCTCTTGTGCCACTTGCCCTGTTTATATAGTGCTACTCTTTGCTATTTCCCTCTGGCACTCTGCCTTCTTGGGTCAAGGAAGAAAAGTTACTGTTGCCAGGCTTTGGGTGACTTGTAGCCCTTAAGATTCGGCTGAAGCTGATTAGAAAGTGAGAACAGTTCTTTATTGCTTCCGAAAAAAATTACAAAGTCAAGTTGTGTGATGATGCTTCATAGTGTGAAGACCTGAATAAAATACAGTTTAACACATGTCTACCTTGCCCCACAATTGGCAGAGTATTGATGGAATTCCTACCAAATCTTTCACCTTGCCTCCTTGCTGTTTTCTTTAGTATATTAAAATTCTATAACCTTTATGTTTAGTACTTTGTTTGACTTGGTGAACTTAATTTGCATTTATGCCATTATACCTCCTAATTTTTAGTGAAATTCAAAAAGACCTCACCAATCATACTAACAAGGTAGAGGGAAAAATCCATGATTAATTAGCTTTAAAAAGGTTTAAATTATAGGGATGTTAAAGATTCTTATTTTGTAACGTTTAAGCTAGAGCAGAATATATTTATTTCCAGGATATAATGATTTAGTGACTAGCTAAAAGTGGTTTTAAATGAACATTTTGCAGTATGATTGGAACTTAGGTATTTTTTAAGGCTTCTTGGTGAGTGAAACCTTTACTTGAATAACTGCAAATTTCTCCCTCCTATAAGGACAGTGGCAGAGGGTGGACATGATATATCTGTATTCTGGTCCTTACCTACAATTTTCATGCAGGGTTTGTCATGGACAGCTGCTGCATTTTTTGTAATCTAATTTTCTTTACTGCTTTAAGTGATCCAAATGTTACTCCCAACGACTGAATGATTGCAACTAAAATAAAATGGATTAATCTTGAAAAGAAGGGAATATTAAATTTTGATCTTAAGCACACCTGGGTATCAGAGATGAGGACGACTCACTATTTTGAGTCTTCCTAGGTTAGGAAAGTCCCGTTTGTGCCAAAGGAAATTGAAAAGGGCTAAGAAGCATTCCCTGGGAGAGATGAAGATGTAGTTTAGAGAAGTAAAAAAGTTATCTTAAAGGTAGCTTTTAAGATAACTCTGACTCAGTGTATCACTTTGAGAGATACATTTTCCTGTGTTTAGAGAAGCTTGTCCTGAGAAGACTGCCAACAAACCAGAGGCTATTTCAAAATGGAAAATGATAAAAATTCAGAAATAAGTATATCAGGAATTAACCATGTGTCTTGTAATGGTTTTGATTCATATCTTTTACCTAGCATGCTGTGCTTTGTCATAGTCCCAGGTTGTTTGAGTTGACTATTATTTTAGCATTGAAAATAAACATGATTTATTCTGTTCTCATCTACTTTTAATTTCTGTGTATATCCCTTTTTCAGTTTTTTTTTTTTTCCTCAGTTTTGTTTTTTTTGGGGGGGATGGAGTTTCGCTCTCGTTGCCCAGGCTGGAGTGCAATGGTATGATCTTGGCTCACCACAACCTCCGGCTGCCAGGTTCAAGCGATTCTCCTGCCTCGGCCTCCATAGTAGCTGGGATTACAGGCAAGTGCCACCACACCTGGCTAATTTTGTATTTTTAGTAGAGACAGGGTTTCTCCATGTTGGTTAGGCTGGTCTCGAACTCCCGACCTCAGATGATCTGCCTGCCTTGGCCTCCCAGAGTGCTGGGATTACAGGCGTGAGCCACCGTGCCCGGCCCCTTTTTCAGTTTTAACTGGGAGCATCATTTATCTCACCATTAGAAATAATTTCAGCAATATAAAATTTTAAGGATTTTTTCAATACATTTTATGACATATAGGTATATATCATATATATGATATTTAGGTAAATATATAGGTATGTATATATAGGGGTGTGTGTGTATATATATATTTTTTTAATAGGGTATTGCTCTGTTGCCCAGGCTAGAGTGCAGTGGTGCCATCATAGCTCTTTGTAGCCTTAAACTCCTGGGCTTAAGTGATCCCTCCCACCTTAGCCTCCCTGGTAGCTGGGACTACAGGCACGTGCCACCACAACATTTTAAATAAGTAAACATTATTTATTTTTATCAGTATGTTTGTTAATTTTTTTCTTTGTATGGGTTATATTTGAACTTTATTCCATAACTCTGATGTTAAGAGGTCCTAAGGTATTCAGTTAGAAGTTGTAACATTTGGGGGCCGGGCGCAGTGGCTCACACCTGTAATCCCAGCACTTTGAAGGCCAAGGCAGGTGGAGCACCTGCGGTCGGGAGTTCAAGAGCAGCCTGGCCAGCATGGTGAAACCCCGTCTCTACTAAAAATACAAAATATATATATATATGTATATATCTGGGCGTGGTGGCACGCGCCTGTAGTCCCAGCTGCTCGGGAGGCTGAGACTGGAGAATCGCTTGAACCCAGGAGGCGGAGATTACATTGAGCTGAGGTCACACCGCTGCACTCCAGCATGAGGGATAGAGCAGGAGTGCATCTCAAAAAAAAAAAAAAAAAAAGGTTGTAACGTTTAATCATTTGTCTGTAGCAGGCCTCATTGTAAGAGATGCATGACAAAAAGCTCTCGTCTCCTTGAATTCCGGCCATCATTGTTATGAAAATCCTGTGAATTACAAAGAATATAATGTAAATCTCCACCTCCAAACGTAGTTTGAATTAATTTACAATAAAGATGCTTATTGATTCAATTATTTTATTTTTATTATTTTTAGTATGAGAGATTTTGAACCCAGTTTACTTGTTAAAGAATGCTCGTGTCAAATTCCAAGCGCTACTGATCATCTTTAGAGCCAGTTTTGCTTAAATGCGTCATACCAACTCAAGTTCTAACCTTTGAGATGTTTTCTCTGCCAGTTTACATGGTGATAAGATTATTTTAGGCCAGGCGCAGTGGCTCATGCCTATAATCCCAAAAGGCCAAGGCGGGAGGATCGCTTGAGGCCAGGAGTTCAAGACCAGCCTGAGCAACATAGTGAGATCCTATCTCTATTTTAAAAAAGAATTAAGATGTTTAAGTAATAACTTTTAGAAACCAAATTTATACAGGGAAACTTATTAAAATATCAATAATGAACAGATTTTAAAACCAAGGATATATTAAATATTGTTTTAATGTGATGTCAGTTTTCCTTTTTTTTTTTTTTTTTTTTTTTTTTTTTGAAATGGAGTTTCGCTCTTGTCGCCCAGGCTGGAGTGCAATGATGCAATCTCGGCTCACTGCAACCTCTGCCTCCCAGGTTCAAGCGATTCTCCTGCCTCAGCCTCCCAAGTAGCTGGGATTACAGGCATGCGCCATCACGCCCAGCTAATTTTGTATTTTTAGTAGAGACAGGTTTCTCCATGTTGGTCAGGCTGGTCTCGAACTCCCGACCTCAGGTAATCCTCCCACCTTAGCCTCCCAAAGTGAGCCATGGTGCTTGGCTGATGTCAGTTTTTCAGTCAAGTTGCTGAATTACTACATCCAATTCTTTTTGCCAGATCTTGCTTTACTTACTGGTATCTACCTTGAAATAATTGCATCTTGGTTATGCCACTTTTCCTTCAATGAGCCTGTTTTATCTTTTGTAAAACTGGAAATTTTACTGGTTCACCTATAAGGCTTTTTTAGTTCTGAAATTTAATAATTATATAGCCAAAAATGAGAAGAAAATTCTTTCTGTTTAACTAAAATGATGTTTAAGGAAGCACCAAGTAAGCTCATAGGAAATCAGTATAGTTTTTCTTCAGCACAAATTATTAGAAAACGAAAAGTGCCAAGAACGGGATTACTTAGAGGTAATTATGTAGACATCAGCAAGACATAATGTATAATAGCTTGTCAGGAAAAGAAATCATTCTTATGACAATATTAAGGTAGTGATTAAAAGTTAAATGACAAGAGAGAAGCTTCCTGGGTATGGAAAAAATACTTTGGTGAAACATTAAGCTTATCTCCTATAAAATAACTATAGGGTAACTTTTAAAAAGGTATGTTAAAAGGATTGTATTTAGAGAGGTTAGAGGGAAAGGAACCTACATTTTTAAGTTTCTCCTAGAATACTTTTTAAATGCAGCTATTACCAGCACAAACAATGTTGATAATGTTATAGTGGGCTCTGACATTTATAACAACATATTTATAAAATTCCTTTACATGTAGTTAATAGAGTGGACGTTTGTATCTTAGAATGGCTTTATTGAGCCTTTTCACACTCTATTATGAACTTTTAAGTAGGTAACTTAGAAGAAAGCTTCACCCATTGAAGTTTACGGTTACATTAATTGGGTGTATGTTTAAAAAGTAGCTAAACAGGTAGAGCTAACTTCTCATTAGGTTGTTTTAGAGATTATAGATTTAAAGACTTTTGGTTTACCTGACACTGGCATATCCTTTTCTTTTAGATTTTCAACCTTTAAAGTCACCAATTAACTTCAGCAAAAGTGATGTGGTTAATCAGTACAGGATTTAGAACGTGTGTACTGCAGTACTTACCGACGTGAAAACTTAATTGCAATACCTGGCGACTTCAAAAAGACTAAAAATGCTGTGTAAAAGCTGATTTTTCTCCTATAGAAACAAGTAAATTTTGAGGTTATAGGTTTGGCCAAACAATCTAATGTGTGATTTTTTGTGGAAAATACCACAGACTACGTATTTATAATTACATGTTTACTCTGTAAATCTTTCTAAAACTTATGTCAATTAAATGTAGTAATCAGCCATATAAAGCACATTTCATGTAACATAGTAACATAGTGTACTGTAATTAGCTTTTTTTTCCCTCCAGCTGTAGTATGTTCAGATGTTAAGGGACACTTTAATCAGAACTGTGGCATTGAGGAAGACTTTGGGCATATAATTGTTATAGATATTTCTTAGGCACCCGAAAGGCTGAAAGCTCTGTGAAAGCTGGGACGTAGTTTTTCATTCACCTCTCTGTCTGTAATGCCTAGTGTAGAGCATG